ATTAACTATCTGACTTTGAATTAGTTAATCAATTGATTAGTTGATTAAATCTTTCAAACACAATCATATATCTCAAAAAGGTCGATTTTTAAACTTCCTGACAGTTAAGTGCAATTTCCTTATTCACTACAAATTTATGATTAAGATTCAAAAGTATTTTATGTTGGAGAAAAGGAAACCATCCCTACTATTTTCAGCAAATTCATTAAATGTTTTTGTAGTATAATTCTGCATCCATGCTTGAACCTACAGTTTTCTCACCGGAAATTACTAACTGTAGTTTATCTACTTACAATGATTAAAGAACAATTACTCCAGTGATTAAAGAAAATTCTCTTTCGTACAACAATTTCTGGTGAACAATTTTCATAAGCCTGTAAGATTTTATATGATGAGTGAAGAAGAAGGCCAAATTCCTATTTGCAGCTTTGGATTTAAGCCACAAAACAACCAGAGATAACACTACTTGCACTATACAAATAGACTAGGTTAGTCCATATAAGAGCTGTCCTGCAAGAAGCTCATTTGATCAACCTGGCCATCAGACATAGATGCTAATGAACTGTAGGGAGCCATACATATCGGGTAATTGCTGAGAAACAGTAACTGTGACATGGCTCCAGGATCTATACAGTACACAAGTGGCAGTTTAAAATCACATCCCTTTCTTGCATAGAAAAACTGTATCTCAGTTCTTGTTTTAGGGGAAGACTTGTCTTTGAATCAGTATTAACGTATCATGTATGTGGCATCCACCACACCCAAAATGCAGGGGTGTACTTGCTCTTAATAGTAGGATGTTTTCAGCTGCAAGTTCATCCAATTTTGAATTAAGGCTATTGAATATTATAAGGAAATAGTTGCTTAATGATGAAACATCAGTTTTATCATAGTTTATCAAAATCATTTTTAAAGTTCTCCCCACAAAACAAGCAAATGTGTGTCTCAGGTATCAGTATAATGGAATTATAAAACAGCATTTATTTGTTCGAAGGTCACCAATACAAGTAATTTTATACAGCTTGTTGTATTCATCAAATAAATGACACAAACAGTTCTACAGTTTACAAATCTTAGAAACTACTGCTTTATATTTTGGTGTAAAAGATTTAATTTCAACAAACTAACCCCCACCCCAAAAAAAGCTATTGAAATGTGGGTCAACACGTACTAGCAGCAGAACATCACGTAAAATTAAGGTTGTACTTGTAGATTCCTTAAATGGAAACAAGCAGAGTCATGCCCATTTTTTTACCATAAGGCAAGAATTGTGCTATTCATTGATCTGTAGAGACTTTACAGGATGACCTTCCTTACTGAAGCAGGCTGTCACTGATGGCTTCCTCTCCATGCATTAATTTCTTCAAAAAAATACATTTTGCAAACCCTGCTTGGTTAAGATATAATCTAAATACAAGTATTTTAAATCTAGTTATATTTCTTAAAATTGAACCAGTGTATTTCTATCAGATATATTGGCTCCAATCCAGCTAAGCAGTGATACAAACCCACCTAAAAATAATGGAGCAATTTAATTGCATTGAATTTCAGTTCATCACAACTAACTTTAGCTGGGTCCTGTGCCAGTTGCTTTTGTATATATAATTATGAATTATTTTTTTCTGATTATGAATATTTACCTTCTACCTACTATAGAATTTCCTTTATTCGTGTATTTCCTTTATTCTCATGAAAATAAACTGCTTTGCCCGGTAACTACAAACCCTTGTTTCGAGATAGTTCTGGACCTTCACATTGTCTGGAAACAGAAAACATTTTATATATATAGTATTGTTATATGTGCAATTGTGTCTGTGTGTGATTTCCTGCTTTAATGTGTTTCTATCTAGAACAGCCTTCCTCAATGTGACGCTGTTATAGTTTGAGTTACAGTTCCCTGAATTCATGACCATTGGCTATATCAGCTGGGGATGATGGCAGCTGAAGTCCAAAATATCTGGAAGGCTGAGGAAAAGTATTCTACAGCCTTACTGTATTGTTCCTAAAAGGCAACCTAAAATCAACTGGTACAGATTCATTATTAACTCTGTAATACATTGTAAAGAATAAACCACCCATACAAACAAAGGTGTTCCCTGTTGCTTGAGTATGTAACAGTCTGAGGTGAATTGTCAGTGATTAAGAGTGCAGTCAGGCCTGTGACACATAGTTATAATTAACAGTCCTTTCCCTCCCCCAAATTATTTCTGCAAAGTCATTGATTGCCTTATACTGAGTCAGTTCACATACTATTTTACTTCCAAGTAGCAATTAATGAATTTTCTATTCTTTTGGAACATTAGTAGCACAAAACTATGTATGTGTATTCAGGAGTAAGTTCAGCCATGTCCAGCAGGGTTGAGTGGGCACAAGATTGTAGCCTCAGACTCTACTGGGATTTTAGGGCACAATCCAGTGCAGTTTAGAGACAAGTCTTACAAGTCCCAGTATGTCCCATCTTGTCATGTAAACTTGGGCATGCTGGGAGCTGTAGGACCTTTCTATGTCTAATCATGAATAAAATTGTGCTCTTATTGGAGTGGAATGGAAGAGAGAAGTCATAAACTATGTATCTGGAAAACCCTAGATGTTGGATAATTCTACAGGAGAGAGTCTATCTATGGGAACATACCTTGGTGATTTTATTAGGCAAATCAGTCTCTTGAGTTGGATGGTTGCCATGTGATTGGGTTGTTTTTTGGTTCTTTAATAATAAAGTTATTCTATAGCCCACTGGCTGGAAACATTCAATATATGATCCAATGCCCAACAAACAAGATGCTAAACAGTGCAGCATCAGTACTAATCTTCCATACAAACAAAATGATGCTCAAGGTGTTGCTACAAAGAAATTTATCTTGTATGGAGCAAGAAATGCTTGATAATCAAGGAAGAGGCACTTGACATTGTATTGTAAATCCATGCAGGCTACTGGAGTGAACCAAAAAATTTCAGAAGAACCAAAAAATTTTTCATAACTACAGCAAAGCCTTGAACTCTGTGGATCGTGAGAAGCTATGTATGGTCTTGAAAGATATGGGTGTGCCTCAATGCATGATTGTCTTGATATGTAACTTGTATTGTGGATAAGAAACTACTGCTAGGACAGAGTACAGAAAGAAAAAAGGTTTTTGCATAGGCAAAGGCATTGGGCAAGGGTGTATTTTATCTCATTTGTTCTGTCTCTACACATAATGTATCATGAGGAAAGTTGTATGAGCATCAGAGGATGGAATGAAAATTAGCAGAAGATATGTGGGATGATACCATCTTACTGGCAGAAAGCAGCAATGAATCAAAATTGTTCCTGTTGAAAGTGAAAGTACAAAAGCGGGATTGCAGCAGAACATTAAGAAAATAATGATTACAGAGAAATTACACAAATTTACTGCCAACAATTAAGAAACTGAAATTGAAAAATCTTGCATACCTTGGCTTAGTTATCAATGCAAGACTGCAGTCAAGAAATCAGAAGACTGAGACTTGCAAGGGCAACAATGAAGGAACTAGAAAAGATTATGAGGTAAAAGGATATGTCACTGGAGACCAAGGCCAAGATCATCCACTTCTGTTTACTATTTATGGGTATGAATCATGGACAGTGAAGAAAGCTGAAGAAAGAATATTGATGTCTTTGCAACATGGTGCTGGAAGCGTTTGCAAATATTCTATACTGATGGAAAGACAAGTGGGTCCCAGATCAAATCAAGCCAGAACTTTCCCTGGAAGCAAAAACGACTAAACTTAAGCTGTTATACTTTGAGCACATCACAGGAAAGCAAGTTCCAGTGAAGAAGACAATCATGCTAGGCAAAGTAGAAGGCAGAAGAAAAAGAGGAAGACCAAATATGAGATCCATCAGTTCCATACAGGAAGCCACAGCACTGAGTGTACAAGAGCTGAGCAGGGCTATGAAGGACAGGACATTTTGGAGGACACTCTTTCATAGGGTCCTCTAAGTAGGAGAAGACTGCATTTAACAAGTTCTGTGCACACATACTTGGAGGTAAAACTCACTGAGCTGAATGAGACTTACTTCTGTATCACCACACACAGAATTGGGCTGCATAAACCTGTTTGTTATTCCATTTCATGTAAGTAGGATTATTTGAAAGATAAGCAAAATCAAACCCAGAAGGGGTAATTCTACAGCTTAGAAGAAAAACTTTCTATTCCTTTGGCCCCAGAGAACAATATATTCTTTCAGTATCAGTATTATTGGTTATTATTTGTAGAACAAGCTAACATGTCCTGTCTGATTTCCGGTTGTTGGGGGTTTTTTTTGGGGGGGGGTCAGGCAAAAGCAATTTTTTGTGTGATTGCAGTGGTTCGTGAATCTCACCGCAGGTTGCAGGTGCTTGCGTGGGTGACTTCCTCTGAAGTTTGTTTCCCACCCGAATCCTACTCATGAAATGCTAAAGAACTTATATGAATTTCCCCATCCCGCCCACCTAGTGTGGGGGCATTCAGGCAGCAATTTGTACTCTCCAATAGGGGGTGTTTTCCGTTCTCGACAGGCGTGAAAGATCAGGGCGAAAAAAACACCGTCGGACAAGAGTAGGTGACTAGTGAAATTAGCAACAATCTCTCGGACTCCAGGTTTCCCTCACTCCAAAACTTCGACCAGACTCTTGCCTCCAGGAAGGAAGCGCCAACACATTTCTGCCATTTCCTCCTCCCTCCTGATGGCCGTCTGCTGCCCCGCCCCAATTTTCTTTTCCGGGGACAGGTGGCCACCACGTGGAGCGTACCGACGGCTGGCCTCTTGCATCAGTTCTGCCCCGGACCGCGCGCTTCGTTCCCAGCGCAGGCCGTTGCCTTGGCCCGTGACGTCATCGGCAAGCGAGGGGTAGTGGAGGCTCGCTTTGCCTCTCCTAACATGGCGCTGTGGCCGTCGCGTTGCTAGAGACGCTCTCTGATTGCGACTCCAAGGAAGAAGGGAGGGATAGATGTCGGATAGGCGCCGGCAGCTGGGCTGGCCGGGTAGGGAGAGAAGGAGGGAGTTTGTGGGACGGAGCGGAGGAAAGGGGGGGATTTAAAGGAGCCATGTCCCCGGCGCGGCGGCCTCGACTGCTGCTGCCGAAGAGGCCGGGGCCGGGCGGGAGACAGGAGAGGAGGGCGCAGCAAGGCTGCTCGAGGGGAGCAAACGAGCCGGCCCAGCCCTGAGCACTCAAGGGGGGCGGCGGCAGTGGCGGCAGCGAGCTCAGGATGGTGAGTGCACCCCGAGGAGCGGAGCCGGGAAGAGGGACCTGACCGGAGGGGATGGAGCCAGGAGGGGACGAGGAGGCGGTGCCTAGAAGGGGGACAAGTGACAGGGAGGCGGGAGGGTGCCCGTGAAACGAGCCTTGCTGTCAAGGAGGTAAGTGACAGGTAGGCCACGGGCGGGTGGTGCGTCCGGCTCCTTTTCCCGGTGAAGCGGAGTAAGGGGGGTAAGTGGGGAGCCCTGGTGGTGCATCCGAACGGGGCAGGTGACAGGTCTCGCGAAAGGTCGGACGAAGCACATAAAAGGTGTTGCAGGTGGCTGGTAGCGCACCTGAAGCAGGGCAGGTGCAGAGGGAGGTGGGCTGCCCCCTTCAAGGGGCTTTGGAGCGGCGAGCAGGTCAGGAGTGCTCATGGAGCGATGGGCACCTGGACGAGGCGTTCGGCGATCAAACTGAGGGGGACGCTTGTGAAGGAGGGAACGGAAGATCCTTAGGGTGGGGAGTGGATTGCTGTGGAGAGCTGGAAGTCCTTCAGCAAGGGGGTAGGGAGGTGCTTCTTTGGGGCAGAGCAAAAGAGTATCAAGGTGGATGACACAGTCTGCTTATGGCTTGACTGACACAATGAGAGTTTGGGGGCATACATGTAAAGTGCCCCCAAGCCCCCTTTTTTAGCAGAGCTCCTAGGTGTTTCCATGATATTCATGTGAGAAAGGATATATTCAGTTATCCCAAGGCGGATGTGACTCGTCCTTGCTAGATCTGCTTTATGCAACTCCCCCCCCCCCACCTTAAGGCTGTAGTTCTGTACCCACTTTCTTGGGAGTAAGTCCCATTGAACTTGATTAGGATGTGTTCTTTAGTAGACACTATAAAATTGTGCTGTCAATTTCCTCTCATTGATACTGCTAGTTCATTTTGTGGGGCATGGGGGCTGCTTTAGTTCAAGCAATATGCCAGGAACTTGCTGGTACAGCTAATCAAAGAGTTTGTTGGCACAATGTTTAAGACAATAAACCTAAATCTTCTTACAGGGAAGAAACTCCATTCAGAATTAATTGGACTTTCTTATGCATAAACTTTGTTAGGATCAACTTGTAAAATCCTTGGGCAATGGCATTGCAATGCTATACTATAGAATTCTTGACAGCAGCTATGGGGCCAAAATAGTTTGGAGTTAATCTGAAGGAAAACACTATCTGTTCTTTTCTGTTCAAACTTTTATGCAGCATCCATTTTCACAATACCTGCCAGTGTTAAGTGAACATTTGTGGCAGATTTGCAGATCTGAGCTGCTGCTGTTAGAAAAGATCTTGTTAGGATGGTAAAGGTGTAATAGAACAGATAGTACCCAATGTGCTTTTTGGAAGGTTACTGATGTGGAGCATGGGTTAAAGGTGTGTTTAATTATGGGATAGCAGAATGGCAAAATGAGGCCTTGTTTTTGAGCACAAAAGGGAGGGAGTATTAGTGATTTTAGGCACCAGTGATAATGGAATTAGGAAAAGACCATGTGTGCACCTTGGAAATCTTTCTCTGTTTTCTCTGCTTCTACATTTAGGAAGCAGTAAGATGAAGCTTCTATAATTATTGCAGCAAAGAATTCTTGTTATATGCTATCAAGCCATCCCCAGCTTATGGTGACACTATGAATGAAAGCCTTCCAGCACATCCTGTCCATTACATCCCTGCTTAACTGTTCTAAATTCAAGGTTGTGGCTTCCTTTGTGGAGTCAAACCATCTCGCATTTGGTCTTCCTTTTCTTCTTCTGCTTTCAACTTGCCCTAGTATGATTGTCTTCACCAGGGAGTCTTGCCTCCTCGTGATGTGTCCAAAGTATGACAGTTTTTGTCATTTTTGCTTCTAGGGAAAGCTCTACCTTGATTTGATCTGGGACCCACTTGTTCATATTTCTGCCGGGCCTGGGTATTTGCAACACTCTCTTCCAGCGTGATGTTTTTTCTTCATGTCGGCTGTCTTCACTGTCTAGCTTTCACACAGTAATTGGGAATATAATGGTGTGAGTTGATCCTGGCCTTCATCTCTAGTGAAACATCCTTATATTTGATTATCTTTTCTAGTTCTAGTTCCTTCACTGCTGCCCTTCCAAGTCTTGGCCTTCTTTTTTTATTTCTGTGAAGGCCTCATGAAAGGCTACTGGACTTTGGGCAAATTTTCAAAATGCAGGATTCAAAAGAGAAACTGTTGATACCTTAAAGTATATAAGTACATCACACTAAGTAAATTACATGGATTTAGATTTTAGACGAGTTTTTGGGGTATAATTGTGTTTGTTTGATGCAGCAAATGTATACTTTATGATTAATAAAGTGTCACACTTTATGATTAATAGATTAATCATGGCATACATTTTTGCAGACTAAAGGCCACTTATCTGATCAGTCTTAAACAAATGTTTCTTAATTGGTTTACTTGATCAATTAATACATCAAATATATGATGTTTACCCAATAAATTAAACAGACACAGAATGAAGCAGAATTACCTGTGCTGGTGCCTTCCAGATGCTTAGCACTTCAATTCCCATCAGCCCCAACCAAGCACTAGCCAGTCATCAGGAATTTTGGGAGCTGTAGTTCAAAACATCTAGAGAGCAATCGGTTATATAAGGCCAGTATAAGGGCTTGCCTAACTAACAGAATAAAAACTAAAGGGTTTTCCTACTAAAGGAATAAAAACTCTGTCCCTGACACTTTATGGCTCATCTTATTGGAAAGATTTGCTGTAATGGAACCTAGATTCCCAGTGGAGCTATCTTCAAAAGTTATTTTAGAGACCTAAATATGCCTTGCTTTAGAGGCAGGTAATTCTTTGCCCTTGTGCTAGTTAAAGCTTTAGGCTTAATTAAGTGGTGGAAACTCTACCTATGGCATACAACAGGGCTTCCCAGTGTGGGGTCTGTAGGCACCCCCATTGCTAGCTGTAAAGGGTACCCCAGCATAATGTTTGTGTGCATTCAAAATATGTATTTTTAAAAAATAAGTATTTTAATTTTTAAATATACATACACGGATTTGTATGCCTGCATACAACTTCTAGCAAGTATACATAGGCTTCAACAAAAGCAGACAAAACATGCAAACAGTTCTCTGTTTGAAACTGGCTTTTTTATGCTACACATTCCTTTATCAAAAGTATAGCAAGGCCCTTAGTCCATTACATTACATTAGGTGAATGTTTATCCCTACAATCTTGTAATATCAGTATTTTCACTGTCAAAAGGGTGAGGACATTTATGCTGGTTGTTTATTAATTTCTATGAAACAGGTAAATAATAATTTTTGAATATTGAAAATCGTTCCAGTATGAAATTTATCTGTAATACCCAACTGCAAAAAGAAGCAGGTACTGGACATCACCAAAACATATGTTTAAGATGGGCATTAGGTGTACTGGATTGTGAGCAATTCATTGAATTAAGCAGCCCCTTATTAAAGAGATGTTGCAGTATCCAATAGACTGCAGCAACAGGCAACAAAAGTTTTTACTTGAACAGACATAGCTAAGAGCCATAGACATTACAGGTGGGTTGCAAAGTGATGATTAGTTAATTAAAGCATTTTGTGGTAGTATCCTGCAACAATTTCTCACATTCCCAAGTGTGTCCACAAAAAGGTTGGGGACCTCTGTCATACAGAGCTGACAAATCTAACTGATCTTTTGTTGTATCAGATTTACACATTTCCAATAAAGAGGCAGACAAGCTGACAAAAGATCTCAACATGAGTGTTAAAAGTTTTAGAGTTGTAGGACCCTTAAGCTGAGGAAATGCGTTCCCCCACATCAACCTGCTGGTATATTCACATCTACTTTGAAGCCCCCCTTAGGATACTTCCCACCATCTGAGAGGAGCTACAAGGCACCGGAGAGAGGGTGCTCTTAGTTGTGACACCCTGTTTGTGGAGTTCTCTCCACAAAGAAATTATCCTAAAGCCTATGTTATTTCTCTTGAATGGTTTTTATCATTGCCTGAATTGCCACTGGTTTTAATATATGTTGGGTTTAATTGTTTCAAGAGTCTCTTTTTTAAATTTGATGTGTGATGTAGATTTTTTTAAAACAAATGATACAGTGGGACAGGCAGAAGCACAGGTTTTTATTTGATTGCTCATTCAAGGATGATACTGACCTCTGGTGAGCTGCAGATTTTGTTGCTGAGTGGCAAAGTAGATTCCTCATGAGCCTGCTAATGTCCCTTGACCATGTAATTGTTGATTGACTGATTTCTCCATCATATGTTACCTCTAAAATGAATGTAATCCATTAACTGATTGTTGAATGCCGATAACTATGTGTGTGCATTTGGCACTGAACCCAGTAATTAACTTCCTCTGAAGAAAAGGTGTGTTTTATTAAATGTTGAACAACTATTTCAGGTTGCTTGCATATTCAGGCAGATATTGATTAACTGGGAGTTGGGTATTTGTAGGTCTGTGGTTGCACGAGTCTTTGATTATGGAGTTATTAATATGCTCTGAAGTCCTCTGACCTATTCATTTTTACAATAGGTCTGTCAGTTTATCAAACACATGAGCATCTGAGCCCAAATGCAGCAATGCTTCTACTCAGTGACCATGCAAGCAGGATTATTGGGATGGTTTTTTTATTTTTAACATCCACAATAATAGCATATTAAATATGTGGGGAATATTTCTGTAAGTATGGGCTTAGTTGTGGTGCCAGTGGAAGAGAGCCTAGAAAGGAGAATGGTCTTAAAACAAACAACAACTTTGCTTTGTGGAAATCATTGCAGAAGCCAAGGCTCTGAAGATAATGTCAGAATGCAGTCCTGTGTGCATGAGGCAGAAATAAGTCCTCCAGCTCCCAGTATTCCCCAGCCAGCCATGCATAGGATTCTGCCTTCAGGAAGCTAATCTGGAATCTACCAATGGTCTCTTTCTGCTTAACTTGAGTCAGTCACAGACAGTAGGGGAAAATATTTGTTGAAAGTATTCTGCAAGTGTTTTATTCCTCACTTCTGTTTGAGATCC